TTTCCATTAAAATTCAGATGTTGATTGTTTTGATTTTATTTTTTCATCTTAATTTGGGTGATCTGAACGTGATTTTCTGAGATTTTTATCAACTTTAATCGGGCCAATTTTGAAAAAAAAAAAAAAAAACAATTATTTAGAAAATTCCCTTAGAAAACAACTTTAAATTTCACAAATTCAGTTTTCTCAATGAATTAAAATTCTCCTTGGAACTGCAATTTGCAAATTCTAATGCAGAGAAAAATTACCATCAAAATTAATCAGGCTTTTTTTTAAAAATCCTTAAATTGGAAAGGAAATTCAGTACAAATTGTCATGATTTATTTAATTTGCTCCTCATTTAGCTGAAATTATAATGGATTTAAAGTTTAATTATAAATATCCAATTTCAGTTTTATTTAAATTTCTATAAATCTCTGATTTATTTGAAAGAGAATTACGAGAAATTTTTTTGCAATAGAAAATCTTATGATTTTTGTGTGCAAAATTTCAACAAACAAACTTTTGCAACTGCAATATTGGATAACAAGCGTAATCTTTTGTCGTCAAACAAAATTCGTCTCGAGTGTTTCTTTGCGCAAAATTCGCGATGAGAGAATATTTTGTAATCTGCGCGAATCTATAAATAACGAGTTCGGCGACCCTTCTCGGCAGTTTGTTTGGAAAATGCAATCGGTTTTCTCTTTTCCACTGATACGCACGTAACGTTGCAGCCGATTTTTTCCACTCATCCATGACAATATCAAATATAGTCGCAAAATTGTAACAATAACAAAAGAGTCGAATTGATAAAATGTATGACGAGTTACAAATAATACAAAGCGCGGATTAAGAATCGCAGCACGTGTCTCATTTCTTATTCTGCGTATCAGTTGTCAACACATAAATCTCATTGAGAAATTATGCTAAACACACTTTATCGAGTAACTTATTACATGAATTTATCTTTGCTCGTTCAGAATAAAATATTGTGAAAAAATGGTTGTATTTAAAATTAAATTGCGAATTTAGCTAATAAAATCAGCATCTCTCAGTTTGAAAGGAAATAGCAGAAAATAGTTTTCAAAATTCCTACCTTAATTTGTATTTGGTCCGTTTTCCAAACCACCAAAGTACCCTGAAACAATTGAATTTTATATCAATTTTTTACTCGTAACATTTTGACAACAACAAACAAGTGGTAATAATTCGGAAAAAATATTTTAAAAAATCAGCAAAACATCCCAAATTCACGACTTTTTGACCTTTGCGAATTTTTAAAAAAAAAATCTTAAAACGATCTCATTCTGAATTTTTAATATGTTCTTCCCCCATGTTCGGATAATCTTAGAAAAAATTTTCAGGCCAATCAAAGTTATCATATATTTGTTGCAAATTTTTTGTACCTGTGACCCCTAAAAGATGACTTTGACCTTTGTCCTTTGAATATTTTGACCCTTCAGGGTTGAAGGGGAGGTAAAAAGGAAAATTTTGGTTTAAGTTGCATTTCTGTATCTCAAATGGAACCCGAGATATTCAATTAATAAGTTCAAAACTTCAGTTTCCAGGAAAGTTTGAGACTTTTCCAAGATTTTTCCACGCCAAAATCCGTCAAATTTTGTTGAATTTTCACCTGATTGCTTGTAAAAAATGCCATAATATGAAAAGTTATAATTCTTTAATTGATTTTTGAGCCAAACTGAACCAAATTCATCTTATATAAAAAGAGAATTTATCATTAAAATAATAAAATAGCTAAATTAAACGTGTTAGAAGTTTGAATGAATCTAGAAATTTTTGCCACATCTTCGTGAGGTGTATGAAGTGTTTGAGGAGATAAGCGTGATGCAGTAGCTCAGCGTGGCATAGTTTTGTGACGGGGGAAAAAATCGATGACGATCTGCTTTTTAATGGATAAGTGGCGCGGGAAACTCTGCTTAAGCGTGCGTGCAAGAGTAAAAACAAGTGAGAGAAATGTGCGCTCGAGGTGAACGACCTGTGGGCGTCAAGATTGTTTCTCTCAGCAGAGATCACAGCTACTTCACCTCCATTGCAGATATGTCGAGGGTGGAGCGGCCCATTCATCCTTATTACAACGCTTGACGCACCCAATTTCAATAAATGTCCAACGTTTTAATAATAATTTGGGTCAAGAATCGATTTAATTTTTTACTGACGCGTTTCGAAAGGAAAAATAATCCATATAACAAAAATTTAGATTGATTTCAACTTAAAATGAGAAAAAGTTAGGAAAAAAATTAATTAATTCCGTCATTAAAAATTATAATTAATTACAATAATTGAAAAATTATCATTAAAAACTTTTTGGAATGGTTTTTTTTTATGAACTTCTCACTTCTGCATCAAAGAAACCAGTTTCGTGTTTAATTATGAATTGAATGTTAATTTCAGATTAATCAAATTGTCTTCATTTTATAAATTAAAGTGTAATCTCGGATGCAGGACCATTTGAATCATTTTGAGCAGCGATTGACGCACCTAATTTCAATGAATGTTTAATACCAAAATTTGGGTCACAAATCGAATTAATTTTTTTACTGACGCGCTTCAAAAGTAAACCAATTTTAGATTAATTCCAATTTAAACTTCAATTGAGGAGAAAAAGTTATTAATAAATTTAATTGGCGAAGTTATTTAGAAAAAATTAATCAACCGTTTTAATTGGAAATTTTGTCTTACAACCTCAAGAGTTTGTTGAACGCAAATTAATGAAGCAATGCCGAGTTGGAATAAAATTGCAGAACATTTTGAGAATTTTGTTGAAAGCGCGCGATTTGACCGGCGGTGAACTTCCTCATACCTGCACTACTTATTTGAAACAAATCTCGCGTCGCCGCCGCCGCCGCCGCGTGTCATTAACTTTTAAACTGCTTTTGTTTCAAAGAAAAGGAAGAGGTTCAAAATATAAGATTTTTTTTCTCTGTTCATTTCGAAATGTCGGAATCGGTCAAAATTTGAATAGAAAATCTAGCGTAATCTGGAAATTAATCGGTTAAAAGTGAAGTGTGTGTGCGATAAAATTAAAAGCAGCAGGTCAAAGACTTCACGCACGTACGCCACGGCGGCTTCATTTTTTTTTTCACTCATTCTTTGAAGAAATTTCTGCCTTTTTTTCTCCTTCGGTCGTAACAATCGAGTTGATTGTTGAATGCTCTCTCTGGCCCATATTTCGAGAGAAGAACCGAAAGATAATCGCTGCATTTCTCTCTCTTCTTCATTTTCGTCGTCGCCTTGCTTGACTTTCTTCCGCTCTCGTTTTAAACGCAGTGAAAATTGCGGCGAACGAAATTCCGACAAGCGCAACAAACACGGAAAGCAGGCCAGGCTTTTTAATTCCGCGAGACATGACAACATTTGCAGCCAACACAAAAACAACCATCCTGCAACAGAGGAAATGTAACACACAAAAATTAAAAAGCAGAGCAGTGAAATTTTATTGCTTCTCTTTCGTTCTTTCTAATCTTTGCCGATAAACCTGAAATTAAACAATTATTTTCATTTTAAATCTGCTGAAATTAAAAAAAAAAATAATGATTAATAAATAAATTACAATTTTTTCTGAATAAAATTTAATTCAAGTTCTTTAAATGCAATTATTTTAATTTCATGTCCGATTAAAAGGCGCCAGCACGTGTTTAGTTTCATTTCTACGGCGCCACACAAAACCAGTCTGGCCACTCCAATACCAAATGCAAATTACGAATCGTTAAACAAATTCTTGCAACGCAATCTAAATTGGGAAGTGAAAGAAAAATCTCGTTTGAACATCCGATGTATTTATTATACAATTACGCCGTGACTCGACAAGGAAAACATAATTTTAATTAAATAAAAAATAATTTCTCTTCGGAGGATAAATTTCTACTCGGCGAGTGCGGTCGGATTAAATATATAGGCTAACAATCGAGAGCACATTGTTGATGTTTACAAAGCAAGGAAGGAGGTCGTTGACCGGCCGAGCGACACCCCAGCCGCTGCAACGGCCCTTTTTGCCCCCTTCCTTGTGCTTTGACGAAAAAAAATAACTGGTTCACAGCAGCAAAAACAATTGTGCACGATCAGAGGAAGAAGAAAAGAAGTGTTTTTACAACAAAGCACAATTGAATTGAAATATAAAGTGGAAGGAAGAAAACTAATGCATTGGTAAAGAATTAAAATGCTTAAAATTTTAGTTGGAAATCTTAATTTTATTAACGAATAAGCAGGATTTCTGATTAAAATAAGCTAATTTTTTAATTTAAAACTTCAAATCAAGACAATCGGCATCGCAATGAACAAAATTTTGCTTATTTTAAAAGCCCGTCAGCTCAAGTAAGAAGCAGAAATCATGCTCAGTGTGTTGCCGTTTGAATTTACGTTTTTTTTTAACTTACAATGTTACAATATGAAAAATCAACTTTTGCACCAAAAATGTACTTAAAAAGACTAAATTTATATAATTTTTAATAAAAAATAACAGTAAGAATCGCATACATTCTTCTGTTTGGTGAAAAATTAGGTTTATTTGAGTAAATAAAAAACCTATTTTAGGATGTTTTGTTTTTAAAATTCCAATAATTTTTCATAATAAAATTAAATTTCTTCTGCACACACTTCGAAACACAAAATTTAAATAAAATATTCGTGTTTAATTTAAAAACGCCGATTTTGTCCAATTTAAACTGCTTTTTCAAATCCTCGTAAAATGTAATGAAGAAAATGTTCTTGATTACAATAAAATTTTGCCCTGAATCGCAACTTTATTAATTGATCAAAATTTCGGGCGGAAAATTAGCGACCCTGATTTGGGGGGCAGGGTGTCCCCCACCAGCACGGGCGGTGCCCCCACCCCTGCGGATGCGGCTGCGGCGGCAGAGGAGTCTGGCGATGCGCGGCGGCGGCGGCGGCGGCTCCTCCTCCCCCACCTTTCCACCCACCCTGGCGTGTGTGCGGTGCCGGGGCCGAGCGCGGCCGGCGGGCCAGCTGACGCGGCGCTATAAAACCGACGGCCGCAAGGTGGGGAGCTTTAATGCACCTTTGCATCCCGCGCAACACGCACGCATCAGTCAGAGCAGCTCCTCGGCGGCGCGCGCGGTGACGAACGAACGAGAGATTATAATTCTTCGTGTCCCAGTTTGTTTCTCCCACTAGGCGCGGCGGAGCCCCCACTAGAGCCGAGCCGAGCTTGCTGGAGATTGTCGAACAGTGTCCGTCCGTCCGTCCGTCGGTCGGTTGTGTGCGTCGAGCGATGCTGGTGAGCGGGTTGGTGTTCGAGTGGGCGCGCGGCTGGCTGCGGCCCGAGGACGCGTGGTGCACCCTGCTGGTGTTCGCGGCCGCGCTCGCGGTGGCGCGCGCCGCCCAGTTCCTGTGCGAGCTGCGCCGGCTGCCGCCCGGCCCGTGGGGCGTCCCCGTGCTCGGCTACCTGCCCTTCCTCAAGGGCGCGCCGCACCTCCACTTCCACCAACTGGTCGAGCGCTTCGGCTCCATCTTCTCGGCGCGCCTCGGCAACCAGCTCGTCGTCGTCCTCAGCGACCACCGCACCATCCGCGAGGCCTTCAAGCGCGACGAGTTCACCGGGCGGCCCCACTCGGGCTTCAGCGACCTCGTCGGCGGCTACGGTCAGTCCCGATTTTTGCTCACAAAAATTAACACAATTTTCCTGGTTTCGATTTAAAATCGGCCTTTTACGTTCACTTCCGCGCGCGCGTTCGAATCTCCGGATGCTGCGCCGGCGAGCATCTCCGTCCAAACAGTTGCATACCCCGTAGGCTGACGCTGACGTTTTTCTTTCTTTTGCCCGCGCAGGAATCGTCAACACCGACGGCAAAATGTGGAAGGACCAGCGCCGCTTCCTGCACGAGCGCCTCCGCCACTTCGGCATGAAACTCTTCGGCTCCGGCAAAGAGCAAATGCAGACCCGCATCATGGTGAGTGAATCAAAATCATTCCTTTTTCTCAATCAAATTTAGTTACAAATTGTTCCTAGCTTACGATAAATCCATAGAAAAATCGAAATTTATTCCGTTGGGCGATAAAAGAATTGCAAAATCTTCAGCTTTAAAATCTTAAAATTATTCATGACGAATGTAAATAAATTTTATTCGAATTTGTGCAGGCCGAGGTGGAGAGTTTTCTGCGCACCCTGGCCAAGACGGATTCGGCGCCGACCGACCTGAACGAGCCTCTCTCCATGTCCATCTCAAACGTCATCTGCTCGGTGATCATGAGCGTGCGCTTCAAGCAGGAGGACTCGCGCTTCAAACGCTACACGCACCTCATCGAGGAGGGCTTCAAGCTCTTCAGTTCGGCCGCCGCCATCAACTTCGTGCCCATCCTGCGTCTGCTGCCCGGCATGAACAAGGCCTGCCAGAAACTTGTCCAGGTACGCAATTGAAAAGGGAAAAAATTCGGGCAAATTTTTAATTTTTTTTTTTCAAATTAGAACCGCGACGAGATGGGCGAGTTCTTCCAGGAAACGGTGGACGGACACCGCGAGTCCTTCGACCCTGAGAACATGCGCGACCTGGTCGACACGTACCTCATGGAGATCCAAAAGGCCAAGGCCGAGGGCCGCGACGGGAAGCTCTTCGAAGGCAAAAACCACGGTAAGCGATTCAGAAATTCCAATTTTTAACAAATTTTTTATTTCAATAACCAGAAGTTTGCTTATATTATTTAATTTTTGGCGCCAAAAATTTCGATTGTCTGAACATAGGTCAATTTTTTGTCATTTGTTATTGGTTTTTTTGGCTGTAGCTCTTCTGGAAATCGTTTGAGAGAGAAATGTTGAATACAAGACTTGTAGAAAATTTAATTTTGCACACTTTATGCATTTAACATTTTCATCTAAATTCAAAGCGGCAAAAGTTATCAAAGCGAGAAGGTTTAAAAATATGCGATTTTCTCCCGTGAGAAGAGAACATCATTTTTCAACCTTTCCGCTCATATAACTTTCATCGCTTTAAATTCAGAAGAAAATTTTATATACAAAAAGTGTGCAAAATTAAATATTCAACAAGTTTTGTATGAAACATTTTTCCCTAAAATGATTTCCTGAATAGCAAGAGGTATAAAAACAAATAAAAATGGCAAAAAAATATGTAATTTTGTTCAAACAAACTTTGCGCTCTGCCCGTGCATGAAATAAATTCAAAATGATGATCAATTTTTTCATTGAAAATTAAAATAATTTTTAAATTTTTTTTTGCAGATCGGCAAATGCAGCAGATCATCGGCGACCTTTACTCGGCCGGCATGGAGACGATCAAGACGACGCTGCAGTGGGCCGTGGTCTTCATGCTGCACCACCCTGAGGTGGTCAAGAGCATGCAGGAGGAGCTGGACCAGGTGGTGGGGCGCAAGCGGCTGCCCAACCTGGACGACCTCCCCTACCTCCCCTACACCGAGTGCGTCATCCTCGAGGTGCTGCGCCGCTCCTCGATCGTGCCCCTCGGCACCACCCACGCCGCCACCAAGTGAGTTTTTTCGAGAAAAAAAATTAATTAAAAATGGATTTAACCTTTGCGTGACCTTCGCAGGGACGTCTTCCTCGACGGCTACTTCATCCCCAAGGACACGCAGGTCATCCCGCTGCTGCACGCCGTCCACATGGACCCCACCCTGTGGGACAAGCCCGAGCAGTTCCGGCCCACGCGCTTCCTCAACGCCGAGGGCAAGGTCACCAAGCCTGAGTTCTTCATGCCCTTCGGAGTCGGTCAGTTCCGGAATTTTTTGAAAATAAAATTTAATTTCTCAATTTTTGGTAATTTTTGCTTCAGGTCGGCGCATGTGCCTGGGCGACGTGCTGGCCCGCATGGAGCTCTTCCTCTTCTTCGCCTCTCTAGTGCACACCTTTGACCTCAGGTTACCCGACGGCGAGACCCTGCCCAGCCTCAAGGGCAACACCGGCATCACCGTCACGCCCGACAGCTACAAAGTGAGTTGGAAATTTAAAAAAAAAATCGAATTTTTTTTCTAATTTGTTTTCCTTCCGATTTGTTCTCAGGTCTGTTTGCTCCGGAGGGCGGCCGAGTTTGACCTAGTGCCGAGTCCGAGCGGCAAACTTCGCAGTGCTGGGAGCCAGTAAGTGAGACTCACGATTCTCGAAGCAACATTCCTTATTAGCGCTGAAAGTTCCTCAACTCATCGTATTTTATATATTTTTGTACATCCATCGCCCTTCTTTTTATACCTCCGCGCGCGCGCGCGTGTGTAAATATTTATTATGCATTAATTGTTGCTCAACAAGTTCCATGTACGATTTAAAAAAAAAAGAAAGAAAAAAGTGCCATATTCAGCAGCCCCATCGGATTTCTCTCACATATATATTTTGCAAGGCCAACATTCCACGTTATTGTGTTTTATTCGTCAAGTGTGTTGGCTGTGTAATTATATTATTTTACTTCCTGTCAGTGTTCAAACATTTTCATGTAAATAACACGCACTCCACGAAATCCTATCGTAAGTTTAGTTGTCGCCAAAAGTACTTTTATTGAATAATTAATTAATTCGACCAAAAAGCGAGACGAACCCATTTTCCATTATTTCACAATTTCTCGGGCGAAGAAACGCGCAAGCTAACTTTTGACTAGTCACAAACGCGTTCATACAGTTTTTTTTTCCAAATGAATTCAAATCGGTGTTCGTCCTTTAAAAAAAAAAAAATTGCGTCATTTTTCAGCGATCCCACCTATCATCTCATGGTGACATACTTTTTTTTGCATGTGATTTATATATATATATATATATACAATTGTAAATGAAAACTTGTGTAATAATTTAGTAATTTATGTAAATGTTCCGCGTCAGTTACCGCCAAGACCGCATGCGCGAATCTCAAAACAATATTCGAATCCGAAAAGGTGGCAATTTATTGGCAAGGAAAAGTCGCTTGGTTTTTCACTCCCCCCCCCCCCCTCCACGCACACACACACTTGCTAGTCCATGTCGAACGCACACAATCAGCCAGTTTTCCAATTCGCTCGCGCCCGGGCTTGGTGGACATTTTTTAGTACAAATTTTTTTCCCACATACCTGTGTGTATTTTTAATTTATTGTACGATTATTTTTTTTTCTCTTTTTACAACATTCCGCGTGAAAAATCCTCTTTTCTCCGACGATAAAATGCCATTGGATTTGGAGAACCGCCATTTTTATTTTTTCAAATTTTGTGTGTCATTTATTATATGTAAATAGTGTAAGAAACCGCAAAAGTGTTTTGTAATAAATCCTAAGTGCCTAAGTATATATGAAAAATAAAAGAGCCGGCGAAAGAGCCGAAGACGAATTGAAAATGACATTTTTACTGCATTTGAAAAACCTCTCTTTTATGTAACTCGCAACAATATTAATGAGCAATGGCGCAAGCAGGTCGTCCCACTCGGCGCGCTGCTTGTTTATTATTCTCATTATTGCGACACGACGCGCGAGAAGAGGCCCAGGTTCAACTCTCGATCAAGGCTGAATCGTGTAAAAAAAAAAAATGAAATAAAAATAAAATGAGACGCCGCACCCTTGAATTCCATCTCTCGGCTCATACTCGACTGAAATTTTCCAGAGAAAGCTTAACTAAATATTTATTTGGGATTAGAATTAAAAATCAACGCTTTGAACAATATTATATTTATTTAATTTTCCACTTGCTAAGGTTTGCAAATATATATACAAATCGTAAATACCGCAGCGTGCAGGATTAATCGAGTGGTGTTGTCACACACTCGGCGGCGACGCTTTTCCAGTGAAAGTCCCTTTCAACCTGACGTGCAGGTACTCACAGATGACATTTAATATGACACACGCAACCATACAGCAAACAACACACAAGGCTCGGGAGAGAGAAAAAATACATGCACTTGAGCGCCTTCTCAACACTTGGATTCGCCTCGAAAGAAAATTTTAACAATTAATTTAGTTTTGGTTGCAAGAAAAACATGAAATTTATCAATTCATATGCAATCTGCATATAAAGAAAAATAATTTTATACTGATTAAGTTACAAGAATTTCAAAGGATTTTTGTAATTTTTTTTCTGAAACCCTATATATCGAGTCTTCTTTTATTTAAATTTTTCTATTTAAGTTACAAATTTGAAAACAACTTCATAAGACTTATAATTTTGCAACGCTCGGCAAACTATTCTATGGTGATCAAACGTGTAGGAACACGTTCAAGGTCACTTTCAGCTCTGTTTGGACTGAAAGTCCAATTTTCGAAATGATCATTTCCTTTGATTTTTTTTTTGTAAGTATAGGAAAAAATATCGCCCATTTTATTTGGAATCTACATGTTTAAAACCAAAAGTGGGGGTTTTATTTAAATTAAACTTGAGTAAATGAAATTTTGCCGTGGATTCAGAAACTGAGCGAGAAAACCAATGCTTGGAAAACGAAATAAAATGTCCAAATTTCAACTTTAAATTGGAAATTTTAATCTGTTTTAAAAATAATTAAAATTTTCAATTAAAAGTTTGGAAATTTGGACATTTTAATTCGTTTTCTCGCTCAGTTTCTGAATCCAAGTTAAAATTTATTTTGAAAATTTAAAAGGGCAACTGGAATACACTTAACAACGCAAGCACGACACAACTCTGCACTAAAAATTAAAAAAAAATTACTAAAAAAATACACACACTCACAAATTAACAACATTGAATAAATGAAAATAATGCTGATTTGAATGTTGGCATCAAAGATTAATATTTTGTTCTAATTTTCTTATAAAATAAAATGAAAATATTTCACTTTTCATATTTACCAAATCGATTATAAATAAGACGGGCTACATTTTTCCCATACCTCAAATTAATCGAGAATTCATTTCAAAAATTTTACTTTCAGTCAAAATTTAGCTGAAAGTGACCTTGAACGTGTTCGTACACGTTTGTTCACAAATGAAAAGTTGTCGGGCGTAGGAAAATAAGCCAAAAATAGTTATTTGGAAGTTTTTATCTTGAACAGAAAAATAAAAAACTCGATTTTTTAATTTCTCGGAAAAAAATTTGCACATTTTGTAACCTCATTGGAAAAATTACCAACCTATCTATGTGTCATTTTTTGATCTATGCAGTTGTAGGAAATTAATCTCAAATGGTCTAAAATTTTATTAATATTTCTTTTCATTGTATTGCAATTGCGAAAGATTTGAGTTTGATTTGGAGTGACGAAGCAAATGCACGCAGAAAAATTATAATGAAAAAAAATGCGCGACGAGAGAGGCAAACGAGCGACGAGATTGTCGCCTGGGCTCGAATAAAATGTGAAGGCCACTGATTATTGAGCGACTCTTTCTGCGCCGCCGTTTCTTCACTTAGACCAAATCGCCAGACCGACGCGCAATTGCCCAAAATAAAATCCTCAAGTTCGAGATTGTACAAAGTAAAATTCACGAATCGATTTGAATTGCAGTTTTGAACGCACAAATGAAACCGCCTGGAACCGCTTTTCGACAAGTTTGTTTTGTGTTTTTTTGAGAGCGGCGCCTGTTTTGACACCTGCATGAATTTTCGATTTGTGTATAAATCAAAGGAGGTGTGGCTCGAAAAGCAAGTTGTGCGCCTTGGGATTGAGCGTGATGCCGCAATCGCCCTGCAGCACCGCGGCCGCGTCCTGACCGCCGCCGAACGACACCCTGAAGTTGAAGACGACGCTCGCGGCGAACGCGAACACCATCATGCGCGCCAGCTCTTCGCCCAGGCACACTCGCTTCCCTGGATAAACAGAAAAAAACAATTGCTTTGAAAGTTTTGATACTTAAAGTGGGACAAAAGGTGAATTTTTTTATTCCTGAATCGTATAGAAGGTCAAATTTCATGACCAAAGTGGAAATCGCGATTGGAAAATTCGCACTCTGAAGGATTCAAACCAGGTATTGCGTTTTCCCGCCAAAATCATTTGAACCTCTGCAAAGCCTTTGATAATTAGGCTGTTTTTAAACTCTGGTGGTTTTGAATTCAGGATTGACCTTCTTAAAGGTTCAAATTCCTTTGGCGGGAAAACGGTGAACCCCTGGATTGAAAATTTTTCGTTTTCACAAAACCAGCGGCATTTGGGTTATTTGAAAAATCTCACCTGATTGGAAGGGCATGAAGTAGTCAGGTTTGGAGACCCTCCCCTCTGGGGTGAGGAACCTGTCAGGGTTGAAGGAGTCCACGTCGCTGCCCCAGAGCTTGGGGTCGGTGTGCACGGCCCACTGCAGGGGCATGATCATGGTGCCGGCCGCGATTCGGAAGCCGCCGATCTCCACGTCCTGCGATTCGAAATCGATAAATCGTTACACAAAAGTGGGACGCGGTTAGAAGCGCACCTGAGTGGCGCCGTGCGGAATTCCAGTGGGCACCACCGACCGCAGCCGCTGCGTCTCGGCGATGGCGGCCTCGGTGTAAGGGCAGCACGGCAGGTCGCTCATTCTCAGGTTGCGCTCGCCTTTCAAAATAAACCGCATTTCAAATCGATTGGGAGCAAATCCATTCCAGGTTCAATAATGATTTTGAGCTGAGGAGGGGAAGTGAAACAGGGTATGCTGGTGGAAATGAGTCAGGATTTGAGGGGAAACAGGGACAGGGTACACTGTTATTACTGATTTTCCCATCCTGTAGGAGATGGGATGGGATTTAGGAGAAGTAGGGTCAGGGTATGCTGATTTTAAAGACCGGGACAAAATAAATTGGACCAAAATCCAGTTTTTGCGATTTTTTTGGCGCACCTTCAGGTCTGGAGAACACGGCCGCATCCAACTCGGACTTGACCCTTTGCTGCACGTCAGGGTGCAGGGCCATGAAGAGGAGGAACCACTTGAGGGTGGCGTTGGTGGTGTCGAAGCCGGCGCCGAAAACGTCGGCCAGCGAGTGCAGCATCTGCGGCTCGGTGAAGGTGCCCAGGTCGCCCGCCCGCACCCTCAGGGCCACCTCCTTCAGGTAGCGCCCTGCCAGGTGCGAGTCACCGTCTTGCAGACCCGAGTCCACGTGCTGCTGCAGCAACTTGCGGTACAACTCGTGCGACTTGTTTTTGCCCTCCAACAGGAACGTGATCGTCCTCCTCAACTTGGGCACAAACCTTCAGGGTCAAAAGGTTAAATCAGGGCGAGTTGATAGTTGACGTCAAACAGTTTCAGAGCTCAAAGCCCAGGTTTGATCTGACCGTTCAATTGGTAAAATTTTGATTGATTTTTTTTTTAAATTCTATAATTGTGAAATGTTTTGATTAAAAATTAACCTTTTTTTGTAAAGTGAAGATAAAAATTCTCAAAAATTCTGTACACGGATTAAATGATTTAATATAAAATTAAATTAATTCATCCTTTGATTTATTTCAGTTTTCTCGATGATAATGACCTGAGCCAGGGGAGGAAGTTGAGGGGGCCCGCGACGCCGATCATCCTGGTGCCCTCCTCCTGCAGGTGCTGCAGCCACAGCCAGGTGGGGTCGTCGCGCTCAAACTGTTTGCCGAAGACGAGCGCGTAGACGAGCGAGCCGAGGCAGTGGTTGAGCAGCGGCGCCGCGTCCATCGGCGCCGGCGGCGCCCGCCCGATTTCGTCGACGAGACGTTGCGCGCCCTGGAAGACCCTGGCGGCCAGGGCGTCGCGGTTGCCGCCGAATTTGACCATGCCCATGCTCTTGAGCGCGGCCGTGGTGAAGCGGCGGTGCTCCTTCCACCGCACGCCCTCCGCGCAGATCAGACCTGAGCACACGAAAAAAAATGAAGTCACGCACTTCAGTTCAAGGACATGACGGACGCGACCAGTTGCATTAAGCGCGCCTCATTATGCAGCTCTTTTATTGGCGCGCGCGCGGGTGAAGATAAAGATTAACCCGCGCGGTTCATAAACCTTCTAGAATGATCGCGCGTCGCAGAATCATGTAAGAAAGAAAAATGTGAAAGAAGTTTTTTATGCATTTTACTTTTTAATTCTAGCAACCAAAATTTATACGCATTCCTCAATTTTAAACGGAATTCAAGAATAATCTCAAAGTGCCTGAAATGAATATGATGAAAATATTCCAATTTTTTTCTTTTCAGATCAGATTATTTTCAGTCATTCAAATACTATTTGAATTTAAATTCAATAATATGTTCAAAATGACAGGGCGCATCTTTTGGCTATCTCCGATTTTTGGTCAGGTTGCCTATTTTCAAGGGGCACAAAACTTTATCTTTTGACCTTTGCCAGGGTCAGTGACCTTTGTCCTGGAAACTTGGTACCCACTGAGAAAAGATGCCTTGGGTCATCAGCTCAAATCTCCCACCGAGAAAATTAAAAAATCTTCACCCGTATTAATTTGACAGCAATTTTTGTAAACCCTTTTTTAACTCCGGCAGCCATATTGGAATTCGACGAAATATGATTTTATTTCGATAATTGTGTATTATAAGAACTAAAATACAAACTTTCATGCCGATTTTTTTTAGCAGAGCACAATCAAAGCAAAAAGCTTTATTAGCTTCATTTTCTCCAAAATGGGAAAAATGCAAGAAAAATTTAAACTTTTCTCAAACTCCTAAATTTTCAAGCAGCCCGGGGTGGAAAAATACTTGACAATCTGTATTCATTTTCACCAAATCAAATTCAGTTAAACAATTCTTAGAGAAATTTCACATGAGCGAGCCAAATTTGACCCAAATTTCTGCTTTTCGGGGAGGATTTTTCTGCCCCGATTTAGTTCAATCGTCTTAATTATGCAAGTCGAGGCGGCGCCAGGCCGCGGGCCAAGCGAGGAATTAATCCGCAAACGCCGCTGCGTGTTTTTGTGTCCCTGAGTGCAGAATCGGAGGCGCAGATCAACAACCTTCGTGAAAATTCCGCGCCAACCGGCAGCAAAAGAAAGAAAGAAAGGGAAATTATTTGGCGGCCGACCGAGTGAGTGCCTGCGCGGGTATGCAACCCGTTGGACCAATTCAAAACCCGCTGGCCTTGATCTATCAAGTTTGGTCTGCCCGCCGCCGCCGCCAACAATAAATTATTCAAACTCGACGCGTGATTCCAACACGGACGATTCTCGGATTCGCCACTTCCTCGAACGGCGGAAATCGAACGAATGAATGAATCGCGTGCGAAATGAATTGTAATTATATTTTAAACAACCTGAGAAAAGTTTCAATCAATGCCAGTCTGAAATTTTTACACATTTTATGAGATTTTTCGCCGTCAAGGTAAAAAAAAAGTACGTTTGAAAAGTGGTGTATTTTGTAATTTTTGGATTAATTTTACCAACTTATCTCGAATTGGACAATTTTTGGCGCCAAAAATTTCAATTTTTAGAATAAAGGTCATTTTTTTTGTCATTTTCTTATTACTTTCTTAAATCTAGCTCTTCTGGAAATCATCTGAGAGAGAGAGAAATGTTTCATACAAAACTTGTGGAAAATTTAATTTTGCACTCTTGTTGTAATTAACATTTTCTTCTTAATTCAAAGCGTCAAAAGTAAGAAATGTTCGATTTTCTCCCATGCGGCTAGAACATCATTTTTGAACCTTTCCGCTTATATAACTTTTTTCGCTTTACATCCAGAAGAAAATTTTAAAAACAAAAAGTGTGCAAAATTAAATATTCTACAAGTTTTGTACAAGACATTTTTTTCTAAAATGATTTCCAGAATAGTTAGAGTTAAAAAAAAAACAATAAAAATGGTAAAAAAATTGAACTTTGTTTAAACAATTTGAATTATCGGCGCAAAATATTATTAGCAAACTTAAAATAAGTTTTTGAGAGCTTATTAAATTTCCTATCGATTGCCGTCGGTTTCATGTTTCTACAAGGAATAGAAAAATTACTACAAAAAAAAAATTCAAAAATACGCCACCTTTCAAAGGTACTATTTCACCTGGGACGGGGGAAATCGAAGGAAGTCTCAGAAAACGCGTCTCAAATTAGGTGAAAATTTCAGACTGGAATGAATTCTCCCACCTTACATCATAATTTTGCTTCCTGGCCATTTTGTGGATTTGGTATTCAGGGCGAATCGCTCAGGTGGTTGGCCGCGCCGAGGCGTATAATTGCGCTTGATTGATGCTTCACGGTCCGTGACGCGTTTTCACGTTTACGGAAGGTCAGGTCCCATTCAATTTACTAGTCGGCCGGCGGCGCTCGCCACGATTTTACCACCAATTTACGCACTTTGCTTCGTCCGCCGCCCGAGAACCAAACAAATAAAATGCAACAATGAAATCGGTCGGTCATCAACCTTGGCCGAAAAAGGACGCGCGCGGCCCTGAAAAGCGACGCGCAATTCCTTCTTTCCTAATATTCGTCAAGTCAGTGCGAATCAAATTAATTTCAATTCAATAAATTAAATTACAAATCCTTTGTTAACCGGAAAATGTTAATTTGACTTTTTAGAAATTCGCCATTCATTCCTGAATCGCATTTAAAAGTAAAGAAAAAAATTCATCTTTTACTCGACGCACTTTGAAAACAATTATTCCACAATAAAAACTTGTTATTAAAAGATTTTCTCAATTTTATAAAGATTTGATTATGTTTAAAACAACTTTTTTTAAACAAAAATTGATTCGTTTGCTGAAGTTGTAGCCGAAGTTAAATAGTTTTTAAAATATTTGAATCAAACGAAAGTATAGAAGTAAAATGTGTGTCGACCAAATGAATGTGTTCGTTTCAAGTGGCGAGAGCACAAGGAAGCGGCGACTATATTTGCAGGGTTGTGCAATTTCAATGATCCATTCAAGGTGAGGCTGCGCGCGAGTGAATATGTCAATTAATCGCAGGATTGTCCTTGGGTTAATTTCTTATGGCATCGCAGGTGCAGCGCCAGTCAACAAGGCACACCTTCTTGTTGCAAAATTTTTGCACCTCTCAGTCAGCCAGAGACGGCATCGAACCAACGACCCTTTGTCCGACCAAAGGACAAATAAACGTGATTTTTTTTTGTAATCTTCAAACTAAAATGTGTTCTTTTTTTTAAAAAAAAATATGAACATTTACAATTTCATTATCACAATCAAATGGCAAAACAGTCCCAAAATATTATTTCTGCTGCTTGCCTTTAAGAAAAAAATTTGAAGTGAACCACATTTTCCAACATTCCTGCTTTTCTAGAGCGTTTCCTTTTGGATTTAGAAGAAAGTTGCAAAGACATAAAATGCGCAAAATTAAATTTCCCACAACTTTTGTTTGAAACATTTTTTTGTAAAACCATTTACCCAGCCGGAAAATCTATTTTAGTAAAAGTTTAGGACAAATTTTATTCCAATTATTGGATAAATTCCAATAGAGGCTGGGCCAGAATCAATAAGGGCATCTAGGCCAGTATAAAATTCATCTTTTAATTAATTTTTCCAGTGCTGCCACCATTTTTATCTAATTTGACTGGAGTAAGGTGGAATAATTCGTTTTCCTCCTAATAAGTGATTTAATTAATTTCTAAAATCACCATTTGATCATTTTAAAAGCTCATCTGAGTATTTTCTTATTAAATTTTGAATTTAATTTTTTAAACAATTAGTTTTAAAATTCTCTGCAAAATTCCAACTAAAAAAAAACGCTTTGAAAAGCGAAAGTTTCTGTTTTCTTGTTGGCATCGAAGCGATCGTCTGAGGTTCCACTGCCCCCAATAAGCGCCGAAATAAATACTTGCCGGGAGGACAAGAAATAAATTTGGCGCGCGATAACAATGGGGACGTTTTGTTTCAAACGCAAAAACTGGTTGTTTGCGACGACGCTCTATAAATTATTATTTTTGTCTACCGCAGACTCTCGTTTTTCTCGGCAAAGACGGACGAGATTTATTTTGGACCTCGTCTGGGCGAACGAATTGTGCGATTTTCGGGCGGCCTCGCGGGGTGCCGCGGTGCAACGACACTATGGAAGGCCAAGACCCCTCCTCCCGCGCACTTTTATTTTCCATCTCGCTCCCGTGTGCGGCCTTGGAATTTGCATGCTCGAAACACGTTTGCAAATCATCATCATTCTTCCAATCGGCAGACAAAAGGGAACGCAAAAGCAAGCGTGAGAAAAAAAACTTGCGAAAAGTTGCGAAATTTCGCGCTGCAAATAATGACGCGTCAAAAGTTTTACAAGGAACTCTCAATTATGCATTCGCGCACAACTTGCCCTTTTCACAATCACGTATTGGCTATAAAATTTCTTATTGTTATGAAAAAAAAAGGAGAAAAGGAGACGATTTGCAAGATTGTGAATCTTATGGTTTGAAAACAAAAGCATTTCAATTGAATTTTAAATAATTACAAGATAAATTTTCATCAGAGCTGAAATTTTAATCGGTAAAAGTCATAATGTCAGAATCTTGATTTTAATTTTTACAAACTTTTTACTTGTAAAATAACTTTAAAAAGCCATAACTTTGGTTCTTATTGACTCTGACACGTAGTTTTGTGGTTCTGGTAAGACAAAAGTATTGTCTAAAGATAGAAATAGTAAGAAATTGTTCAGACCCTGTTTTGTGACCAAAATATATTCATAATTCGGAATAATATGAAACATTTGTTCAAAAGTTTTACTAACATGGATTTTCCGGCCAGGATAATTGTTTTACAAGAAAATTTTTCAAACAAGAGTTGTGGGAAATCATTTTCTGCACATTTTATGAATTTACTATTTTCTTCCAAATCCAATAGCAACAGCAATAAAGGAGAAGGAATGATTGAAAATGTAGTTTTCTTTAAATTTTTGTTCAATGCTACGACCTGAAGGGCAAGCAGCAGA